TTCCGTCTCGAAAACCTCCGTAACCACTTCCTTCGCTTCCGCCGCTGCCTTCGCGTCACCCTCCTCCCATCCGCTGCTCCGCGCACCCCCTTCCGCCGCCTCTTCTCCGCTCTCGCCTACGCATTCCCCCCTCACCTCCGCGAGCCCGGTCCTCGTCCCCCCATCGGCCTCCCCGTCGCTCCTGCGCACATTCCCTTCCCATCCACCGCTCTCGCCCCCTCCGCAATTCGCGGTCGGATCTCCATTGCTGACAGCGGGGGAATTGCTGCCCACGGAGAGGATAATTCCTGCATTTACCATCACGGAATCGGGCGAATCAATTAAATCAGCAGTATCCGCAACTGTCGTTCTTGCGTCGCATTTCGCCGTGGTTCCCACTTCACCCTGGAAATTCTCCTGAACCTGGTCGGGTGCAACAGAGATCTCGAGCGTGCCGGGAGCCTCGACTGCGCGAAACTGTTCATTCACCTGGCACTGTTCATCCTTCCCCTGCAGGTTGTCCTTCAGGTGGTTCTTCAGGTGGTCCTTCAGGTGGTTCATCAGGTGGTCTTCCACACGAGCCAATCGGAACGCTTCAATGTATTCACCACCCCAGGGCGCCGCGGCTGCTGTGGCCGGGCCGTCACACGATAACGGTTGCTCCTTCGCCGCCGTCAAAACAGACGGCTTGTAACCATCACCGTTGCCGGTTAAGCCGTGTCCTCCGCAGCTCTGCTGCCGGCGATGACTCTCAGCTGCTTTCGACTGACGGGTTACCACCTGGGCTGGTGCGCCAGCTCCTCCGTTCGCCTCCACGCCAGGAGAGGTCTGCGAAAGCTCTAGCTCTAGCGACGGGCGAGGAGTGAACGAAATCAAGTTGCCGCTTTCGCTAAGGCGTGTGAGTTCGAAGCCCGGCTGGAGGGAGTGAGACTTGAGCAGGCTCAGCGCCGGCTCCATCTCGCGTCGTCGCGCTCCCCGTTCCTTGCGGAAACTCGAGATCATATTCTTAAAACGCGAGGATTCGCGCTCCGATGATATCGCCATCATTGGTCTGACGGTTGGAGCTTCTTGAGACGTCTCAGAAGAGGAGTGGATTCTGACAGGAAGAGCGCCGTTTAGACGTCTGGCTTAACGGTTGGAGTCTTCTGGAGGCGTCTAGCCTGACTGTTGGAGCTTGATAGAAGGAGCGCTTGTCTGGAATGTTCCGAGGAAAAAATAATGCAAGAAGACTACGTAGTCGGAATAAATTCGTCGACCGTCCGTGCGCACAAAAAAAATAGGCGGGTTTGTCGTTACGGAGCCAGTGTCTTGCTTCTATGGAACGCGCTGCTTTCAATACGGGCTAGAGCGGTTCCCTGATTCGACGCACGACGAACGCGCATGCCGAACGACTAAGTTCGCTGCGACTGATAATCCGGCAGTTGGCCGAATAGCGATCTCGAGGCTCTCATAGGATCTCGAAGCACATAGAGAGCTCAACGCGAAGTGATGTCAGGTGGAATCTAGAACACGCGGCCTGAAAATGAATCGAGTAACGGACGGAGGTACTGCATGGGAGAACCGAGAGAGAAGAGAACCAAATACAACAGGTGGGAGAGGAAGAATGCATGACTCAGATATTCCCGTGGCCGTCAAGACATCCCCATGAACCATCCGTGGTCTGCTGGCTATCCATCCACCCCTCACATCCATCCTTGGCCAGAGATACGAGATGCGTCTGCGCATCTCCACACAAGTCGCTCCTGTGCACCGAGCCGTACCTCTCTGTACCATGAAAATCAGATTCAAGACCGCGCGGTAAGGCAAATGGTGCGTGGAAATTTGAATACACATCTTGACAGTTGCTATTCTGTCACCGAGCTATAAGCCTCTATAAAACAATGATAAATTCTAGAACCGTATTGTTTCCATCTGGCACATGCTTCCTCGGACTGTGGGGTGCTTCCTAGATTCCTCCATTTTCACTTGTTTCCTTCCCCCCCCCACCCCACCCCACCCACCATCCGTCCTAGCTACAGTGCCGCCTGAGGCAGGGCAGGAGGGTCACCAGCACCACCAAAGCATCAAGCAAGCAATGCGCACAGAGATCCTCGGCTCCTCATTTGCGCATCAAGGGCAGCGGCAACAGCCCCATCAGACCAATCACGTCGTGTCAATCTATAACCGGCATTTGCACCAAAAGAGAAGTGTAGTGTAATTGTTCAGAAATGTATTATCCTGTCTTGTTTGCAACAACATCAGCCGTCGATGGAGCAAATTGTACGTGCCAGATTTCCAGTGTTGCCTCGTCCAATCCTTGCCGTTTTGTTTGAACAGACACCACTTTGGCCTGCTCGGTCCCTCAACACACTCCTGCTTGCCCGGCCACACCCCATCTGCCCGCCCCTCAGCCAGCTCCCTTCCAGCGGGGGTGGGCAGCGCCGCTCGCACCGCTAACGACACACCGTCACCTGCCAAAGTGCAATCTGGTTACAGCCCAAGCAGGAAATCGTGAAGTCTGTTCTCACTCGCAGCCCAATGGCGAATGAGTCTGAAGCCAATCCAGACCGTACGATGTGAGTAGCGCGGCTACTTCCTAGCATCAGCGAATCTCCATTCCGCAACATTCAAGTGTGTCAGCCACTGACATCTGTGTATTCTTCCCAATGTAACGGCAGCGTGAGCTTCCAGAAATCCTCGATAGTGATGGTTGAACAAAAACTTCGTTATTATCTATTACAACTGGAGAGATTGGCGTATATGTTAGACACACAGAAACATGTTCCTAACCATTACACGAAGCCAACGGAGACGTTTTGATGGCAACAGGCGTGCAGCAACTTTTTTTACGTCTAGGTTGGGGGGAAGGGGTGGGGGGGGAGGGGGCAGGGCTGAACAAAACAAAACAGAGCATGATAAGATCATGAGTTTGCTACGTGATCATCACGTGCTCCACAGTGATCTTTACTATATTTGTAGTCCAGTGCATGCTGTTCCATATATGATGTGCAAACATTTTCACAGCTTGAAATCCGTGTCACATACGTTTAATTAATGGCAGGTAGTGTTAGTTTTGTAATTATATTCAGACTCCTGAATCTGGAGAAGTTAAGATGTTTCAGTTTGCGTAGCGAACGCTTACTACAGCGGTTCTAGCCAGCCGTTATTTTAGCGGATCCTTGTTCCTTGGCTGCGTACGGAGTTGAAGAAACGCTTGGACAGTTGTTGCGATGCGATGCGATGCGAAACAGCAGACAGTCGTCGTCTCACCCTCACGCTAGAAAGCACCTCGCGACTCCACATTTTTCCTTCCCACAGGTTTTGCTGCAGCACACCACACCACCATCAGCCAGTCTCCCATTCCCTCCTCCACCACACCCACCCGCCGTTTCCAACCCACCCAAATTCTCTCTCACTCACTAGCACCAGTACAGCACACTTGGAGACAGCACATTTTTGTTGTATGGCACGCATGCTCGAGTCCCCCAGCCCAGCCACAAAAAGGTTTCACACACGACGCAAGGCGAAGGAAAAATATCAAAACTGATCGAAACGGGCGACCACCACCACATCGGCAGTTGCTTGCTTGCCTGTAACTTGCAACCACTTGCTATTGGCAGGAGGTGCAGCCCTTTCATATGCCCGGATCGCTAGGGCAGTGAGTGACCTTCCAAAAAGTCCGTGGGGCAGCCGAGCCATTTCCGTCTCGGACATCCACCCTTCGGTCGGATGGAAGGTTTGGATGCTTTCACACATCCGCCTTCCATCCCATCCGTTGGATCATGGTTCCATTCCTCCTCCACACACACACACCGCACCAAGGAAACAATATAGATAATGACAAATACAATCGAAATGACGAACACAAAAGCAAGTGCTCTGCGTCAGTGTCTCGCACTGGCGAGATGAGAGACCATTCATGCATGGACAATGACAAGGTTGCCCCTCCCTTCCCTCGCTCATCCCCGTTCTGTCTGGTACAGAAAACTCGGCATGTTGAGACTGGGCCACAAGGCAGTGAATAGCAAGACCCTAGGTCAAACCATGTGTACGGACGCGCTCGCCTTTTGAAATACTCGTAAGAATCGTCTTGGTGGTTGCTGTACGATATTCGGCGAAGCAGCTGTTTTATATTTGTATAACGAGGTAGAAATCGAATTGGCGGCGGGGCGACTCTAAAAGTGCCACGTCACACAGGACGCATAGCGCTTCTTATCTAGCTTGCACCTCGTCAGAATCGTAGAGAACTTATCTTTATGGCGACATCAGTCGACTCGATGGACGAGCTCTGGATTCACCGCAGCTCCGTGCGGCTCGACGAGTCACCTGCCACGTCAGCGTCGTCGTCATTCGCAAGGAATCTCATCACTAGGGGGCACGCTTTAAAGACCGCTATTGGGAATAGTACAGGTGCTGGAATGACCGATTCCGCGACCAGCGTCGCAGGCGAGCCATGCGACGACATTGGCCTCGGGCGACGAACTCGTGGCGACGTGCGACCTGCCGTGCGACGATGCGCGGCAAGCGACACGGAAGGATTCACCAGAGAAAGACGAACGGTCAGCAGAACCGGCGGCAACGGCAGCGCGGCAGGCGCTGGTATGAGCACGAAGAGCGCAAACAGCGGGACCGGAATCAACGGCGCTGAAATCGGTGGTTTTAAGGACAGGGGTGCTACTAACTCAAACGGAGAGTACATCAGTAGACGTGCGAGACTCGCCGCGGGCTTAAATTTTCTGCCCAGCGGGCAGTTCGGCGGGCAGCTCGGGGACGGGGGCAGTCGAAGCGGGAGTATGCTGGGCTTTAAGACGAGCGTGCGGAGTCGCGTCTGGAACACTCTCGCTCGTGCGTCGTCGCTTCCGTCGCGAAGGGATGCCGCTTTAAGTTCGAGACGGGATGCTTCCAGTAACGGGTCCTTTCAAGCTAGTACTTTCGACGAGTCGCGCGACTGTTATGACGCGGACGAGCCGCGAACTGCGGCCAACGGTATGAAAGACAGGGTTACAGCTCAAGGCTCGGAATCTGAACCACCCGCGCAACTCATGGCGCTAGATGCGCCGCCATCCACGCGCAGCTCTGGACATTATCGTTCCAGGTTCGGTCGTTTGCCGGATCTGTCGGCCGCCCAATCCGAAGTTGGAGAGTCCCCCTCCGACTCCCCTACGAACGAGGCTCGGGCCGCGATTGCCGCTGACGGCGACTCGAAGGGCAGTGACACGAGTAAGGATTCTGCCGAGCCGCGGACGCACAGCCGTACGGGACGCACCAGCGGAACTGGCAGCAAAGGGCCGCCCAATCCACATTCGCCAGTCTCCCCTTCTCCGCCGCTTCCCCCTTCCCCCCTTTCGCCTTCTCCCACGCTTCCCCTTTCCCCCCTTTCCCCTTCTTCCCCCCCGGCAACCTCCCGGCCTTTCTCCGCGCTAACTCGCGCCATATCCCTCACGCCCACCCGCGGCGCATCATCCGGCGGGCTGACCCGCGGCGCATCATCGGGCGCGCTGAGTCGCGATGCTTCCGGGTCGCTCGCGCCAACTCGCGCGCAGCTCTCCGCTATGCGCCGCGCGGCGGCGTTCCAGCAGCAGCATCCGTCGTGCTGGCCGAGCCGCGGCCGCATGCAGGTGACGACAGACTCGTTTGACTTTGAAGACCTCGGGTTGACCGACGCTGACTGGATGGGCGACGATGGCGACTCGCCAGCATCCGCGAAATCGCCCGGGGAAGCCGTCGAGTATGCCACGTCATCCCCGAGCAATCGCACCGCGCCGTCGGACCGTAACGACGAAGCTGGACGCGGCGCTGAAGGGGCTGCCGCGTGTAGTAGTGATGGAATTGCCACGTGTCCGGCCAGATCTGAGGTTAGGCTCGATCCCGATAACCAGCGCGTTACTACTTCCGCTTCGAGCAATCCCGTTATTAGCACCACGGCAACCGTAACCTTCACTTCCACCCCCTCCACCGCCGGCGCCGGCGCCGCCGCTCCGGTTCCTCTCATCCGACCCCCGTCAGGCAATTACGTTGTGATGCGTTTCTCTATGTCGAATAGCAACGACGATTCGACCCCGACCTCTCCCTCCTCCACGTCACCGTCCACGTCAGCTGTCTCCTCGCCCACGTCATCTTCGTCTGACATGAGGACTGCGGAACGTAACAGTCTCGCTAGTGACAGTCTCGTTAGTTCCAGAAGTGTAGGCGACAGCAGCAGGAGAAACAGCCTTAGCAGCGAGCGGCGAGATAGTATGCGGAGTGATAGTACGAGAAGTGGTAGCACAAGGAGTGATGGTACCAGAAGTGATAGTACAAGGAGTGATAGTACGCGGGGTGGCAGCAGTGGGAGTGAAAATACGAGAAGCAGGAGAAGTGGCAGCGCAACAAGTGACAGCACGCGGAGTGATAGTTCGCGAAGTGACAGCAACGGAGGTGACAGCGATGGCTCGCGAAGTTCCAATTCACGAAGTAATCGTGACAGGGTTACCAGCACCCGGAGCAACACGAGCAGAAGGGACGGCGTCGGGGGTGACAGTAGACGCAGCGACGGCGGCAGTTGTAATAGTAGGCGAAGTGCCAGTTGCAGAAGCGGCGACTCGAGCCACGTCGCCAGTCGCGAGAGTCGGTCGGAGAGCGGTGGCAGCATCCTCGCTAATAACGCATCCGATACTTGCGCGGGATCTGGCGGTAGCAGCCGGAAAATCCATTTCAGTAGGAATAGCAGTGGGGGCAGCAGCGACGAAGGAAGTGTTTTCAGTTTTACGGGACTGAAAATTGAGGGTAGAACAGAAATTACTGGGGTTCGTGAAAACAAAAATTGCGGGGATCAGAGTGGGGTGTGTTTTGGCGAAACGGACGCGGCTTCTAGCGATGTGATTTGTAACGCGTTCGAAAAGGGAAAAAGGTGGGGCGGGGAGACGGCAGGGGAAGGAAAAAAGTCGACGGATGGGGGAGTTGGGGAGGGGCGGAGAGGGAGGGGGAGGGGAGATTTGGCACACGCGGGGGAAAGAAGAAAAGCAAGGGAGGCGCAGGAGAGGGTTGGGGGGACAGCAGCGCTGGACGGAGCGGGGGGAAGGGGGAAGGGGGAGGATGGGGCGGCGGAGGAGGGGGAGAACGGGGAGGCGGGGGAGGTGGAGGAAGGGAGGGCGGGGGAGGCGGATGAGGAGGAAAAGGGGATGAAAGAAAGGGGAGTGGCGGAGTGGGGATGGAGGGCGAACAGGGATGGCGCTGCGATCAGCAGAGGGAGCGAAACGGTTGAGGCTAGCTTTCGGTTCCTGGCAGGAGAAGAGGGGTGTGCAGATGAGGGGGGGAAAGAGGGAGAAGGGAGTGAGGGAGAGGAGGGGAGTGAAAGAGGAGAGGGAAGTGAGAGAGAGGAGGGAGAGACGGAGGGCGCAGATGGAATTATGTTAATCCAGGCTCCTATATCTGACTGTAAGGGCGAGCCAATCATGAAAGGGCACGTGCCATTTGGTGGCTGTGCAGCAGATGACGTGGATGGCTTAGGGACGAAGGCAAAAAACTCGGCACCCCCCTCCCGAGCAATGAAGCTTAAACTCACCGGTCTCTCCTCCCCTTCCTCCTCCTCCTCCCTCTCTGCTTCCTCCTCCCCCTCCATCTCCCCCTCCTTCTCCCCTTCTTTCTCCCCATCCGCTTCCAAACCCCCTCCCCACCCATCTCCCCTTTCCGCCTTGCCCAATCTCCGCCCCTTCCCCTCCTCCTCCTCTCCATCCGCCTCCTCCCCATCCTCCCCATTTTCCTTCCCTCCGCCGCTCCAGCGATCCAAGACCGAGGTGCTTCCATCAAGGCACTCTGCAAAGCACTCATCCACTCAGGAATCCTCAACACGCCCCTCCCCCATGCATCCCCATTCCCACAGCCACTCATCTCATCACGATAGGTCACATCAGAGCCAGCCTCGCACGTCCCCATCTCCCCCGCATCTCAATGACCTTTATCCCGCCCCTTCCCCCCTTGCTGCCGCAGTCCCTACCCTCCTCGCTCCCCAACCCCCATGCCACATCTCTTCCCCATCCGCTCCCCCGCTCTCTCCTGCATGCCACTCCTCCAGCCCCCCTTTCTCCCCTTCAGATACAGACCACCCTTCCAAACCTTCAATAAAAGCATCTTCGTTACAAGCCCCTTCGCTACAACTGTCTGCGTCACAAGCATCCTCGTTACAAGCCACTTCAACACAAGCCTTGCAGAACAGCGCCTCACCCAAGCCTCTGTCCGGCCTGCCACCAACCACGCCCAAGCCCCATGCCCGCTACCTCCGCAAGCAAAAATCCGTTCCCACTGCCTCCCTCTCGTCCTTCCCTTCCCCTTCCTCCCCCTCCCCCTCGCCCTCGCCCTCCTCCCTTCCCCCTCTACCTCCTTTACCCCCCCCTTCGCCATCCTCTTCCATTTCTCTTTCCCCCTCTCCTCGTCCCAGCGTGTCCCGCACTATTCACACTCCCTCCTCTCCTCGCTCTCCTCTCTCTCCTCGTCCCTTCCCATCCCAGCCTCTCACATCCCCTGCCCTTGCCGACCGGCACAAGCCATCTCCTCTCAGGCGAACCTCTGGGCAGACTGACACCCTTCAGGCTGATCCTCAGGTGAAGCCCCAGGTGCTTCCTCAGGTGGATTCCCAGGTGCTCTTTCGGGTGAATCCCCAGGAGAACATGCAGGAGAAGTCTCAGCGAAAATCTCATGCAGGAGCAGCAAATGCAGCACCAGCAGCAGCAGCAGCAGCAGCATCACAACCAACAGCAGCAGAGCCATCACCAGCACCAGCACCAGCGGCAGCACTGGTGGCAACAGCACCACCGTCCCGTCCTGCTTCTGCTGCCAAGCCGCCACTCTCCCCGTCACCCGCTCACATGAGGGGCTTCAGAGCAGCTGCAGACAGCAAGAAAGCAGCCCCTGGGAGCAAGAGGGCAGGGCTAGAGAGCAACCGAGCATCAGCCCCCTCTGCAGGCCAGTCCCTTCGACGCCAGGCATCCGCCCCCATTGCCTCCCTCTCCTCCTTCTCCTTCTCTCCCTCCCCATCCCCCTCCTCCTCCTCCTCCTCCTCCTCCTCCTCCTCCTCCTCCTCCTCCTCCTCCTCCTCCTCCTCCTCCTCCTCCTCCTCCTCCTCCTCCTCCTCCTCCTCCTCCTCCTCCTCCTCCTCCTCCTCCTCCTCCTCCTCCTCCTCCTCCTCCTCCTCCTCCTCAACCGCCCCAGATTGGGACCAATACACCCATGGGCCCGATGCCAGTGCCGGTGACTGTAAGGAGGGCTCTGTTTCCCTCACACTGGGTGGTTCGGCTCAAAATGGTTCGGCGCTTGGTGGTTCGGCACGAGAAGGTTCGGCACGTGGTGACAAGATTGCAGCAGCAGGGCTGACACGCAGCAGCAGCACTGCCGGTGCCACGACCCACCCTTCATCCTCCCCTGTGTTCTTTCCTCGCTCCCCCATTGCTCCTCCATTCTCCCACACTCCTCCATTCTACCACACTCCCTCTTCACCATCACCCCCATCACCATCATCCCCAGCATCATCCTTATCCTCTGCTCCTTCCTTTGCCCGCTCCCTCTCCTCCTCCTCTGCCTCCTCTCACGCATCTAACCCTCTCCACCCCTCTGCACCCATCACCACCACCCACCACGCCCGACCCCTGTCGCGCTGTGCCCGCCCGTTCTCCCCTCCCCCACGTTACCTGGCCTGTATCGCTGCGGAAACTGCCAAACCTAATTCCGTCGCTGCTGCTGCTGCTGCTTCCAACGCTGGTGTTGCCACCAACCCCACTGCTGCTGCTACTGCTGCTGGTGCTGCCGCTGGTGCAGTTGAAATGGCAGCACCTGAGCAGATTGTGTTTGCTGGGAAAGCAACCTCTGGGGGCAGAAGCCCTCTCTGGCGAACGCAGAGCAGCGCTGAGAGCAGCTCACGTGCCTTTGGACCCGAAAGTAGGAGGGAGAGCAGGGGGAGCAAAGACGCGACTGAGAGCCTGGAGAACAGGGAAAGCAGGGAGGACGGAGAGAGCACAGGAATGAGAGGGGGTGTTGGGGCAAGAGGGAGTGGAGTGGGCAGAGGGAGCATTGCAGTGAGAAGTATGAGTGGGAGGGCGCTGAGGAGAAGCCAGACTCTGGACTGGCACCCAGGCCACCAGCAGCAACGGCAGGCTCAGGTGCAGCCTCAGGTGATACCGCAAATGTTTCAGGTGAAACAACAGATGCAGCAGCAGCAGCACAGGCCAGATGTGTTGATTATACATGGGGACGAGGAGACAGATGCGATTTACACACACCCAAGAGCAGCTGCTGCAGCAGCGGCCGCACAAGTGGCCGCTCACTCTGCGTCTGCTGCTGCTGCTCTTGCTGCTGCCAAGGCCTCCCTCCCTGCCCCTCTCCCCCACCCCGCTTCCCCTCCTGTGTCTCCTGTGTCTGCTGCATCTCCTGTGTTTTCTGCATCTGATGCAGCCACAACAGCAGCAGCAGCTCTTAGTGAAGCTGCTCTTAGTGTTGCTGATAACGGCGCTATTCCTAGCCCTGCTTATAACGGGGCACTGCACAGCCCTGTGTCTCCAGCGCTGCCCCATCCACCGATTCTCACTCTGCCCTGGGAAAGAGAGGAGCCTGCGACACTTAAGAAGCACTTAGCTAAGCGACTTGCAGGCCGCAGCAAGAGCACTTCGGACTCTCCCTGGTTGTCAAACCGGGATGAGAGCAGCTGTGGCGACGGTATCAAAACCAGAAACGGCAACTGCAATTGTTCGTGTAACTGTCACAGCAGCGGCAGCACCAGCATCACTGGTACCGGTACCACCGCTACCACCAGCAGCACGGGGCAGGCAGCAGGCATGGCATGGGGGTCAGGGAGGGCGCTAGAACCGCCTGATGTGGTGAACCTTGCAGTGCTGGTGTCGGTGCTGGCTGCTTTGCCTGGTGCTGGCTGGCAGCGTGCTCGTGAGTAGATGGGTCTGTTGGGGTCACTAGCATTACCACCAACACGGGGCAGGCAGCAGGTATGGCATGGGGGTCAGGGAGGGCGCTAGAGCCGCCTGACGTGGTGAACCTTGCAGTGCTGGTGTCGGTGCTGGCTGGCAGTGTGCGCGTGAGTAGTAAATGGGTCAGTCAGGGTTACACGAGTCAGCCCATGGGCATGGCGTGAGTCAGCCCAGGGGCATAGCGTGAGTCAGTGCAGGGGCATGGCGTGAGTCAGTGCAGGGGCATGGCGTGAGTCAGTGCAGGGGCATGGCATGTGGTTCAGGGAGGGTGGTGGAATGTGGAGTGGAGAACCTTCTTGGTGCTGGCTGGCAGTCTGCTTGTGAGTAGTGGCTCTGTTGGCGGGCAGGAGCATAGGTTCTCTCGCACTTGATTTTGCTTTGCGACACGCAAATATTCCTAGAAACAAACTCATTTGTATATTCTGGATGTCATTGTACAGCACTCCAAAGATGGATTACCACACTTTCAGAACAGGAGCATGAAAACAACAAATCAAAGAATAACATGTACCAGAGGAGAGGAAGCTTAAAGGCTCTGGTGGCTCTCAGGTGCCCTCAGGTGCCCTCCAGGTGCCCTCAGGTGCCCTTCAGGTGCCTCAGGTGGCCTTCAGGTGCCTCAGGTGGCCGTCAGGAGGTCAGAGCCAAAAAAGGAGGTGTTGGTGAGAGGACGGGGAGATGAATCGAGCGGGTGTGAGGGAGTGGTGAGTGGAGTGAACACAGTGGGATGGGAGAAAACATTACAGGCCGTGAAGAGAGGGGAGACGGCGGGAGAGGATGGAGGGGGGAGGCGGGGGGTGGGGGACACCCAGAGGGAGAAGGAGGGGCACCGAGAGTGATGGTCCTTCCCCTGCTCTTCACCATGCCTCAATCCCTCTGGCACCTCCCAGGGTTTCCCCTGCTCTTCACCAGACTGCAGGACTCGAGGCTCCACAGAATTACTCCCCTGGCAAAATGGTTGGCCAGCCTCGGGAGATTCTTGAGCTGACTCAGAACTCGGCCTCCCCTGCTCTTCATCAGGCATAAGATTTCGAGGCTCCGCAGGAACGCTCCCGCGGCGAAATGGTCGGCCAGCCTCGTGAGATTCCTGAGCTGACTCAGACCTAGGCTCGGCAAGGACAATTTCCCCGCAAATAGGTTGGCAAGCCTCAGAAGCAGGTAGGAGCGAGAAAAAAGCAGCACCGCTTGGCTGCATGCACACACTGGTTACGTCTTCGGTTACATCTCGCCTTGTTGCCTGTACACCTGAAGCCCCAGTGGCAGTGCTGCCGTTATTGACTGCAGCTCTTGCATCTTTAGTGTCAGAAGCAGCCGTTACATCTGCAGTGCAGACGGCAACTTTTATATCTGTAGTGGTGGGAGCAGCTGTTACATGTTCAGTATCGGCAACGGCCGCTGTGGGTGTGGTGGTGGAAGCAACTGTTACATGTGTATCGTGTGGAACAGCTGCCACATTTGTAGCGTCAGCCGTTACATCTGGAGCGGCGGGAGCAGCCGTTACATCTGGAGCGGCGGAAGCAGCCGTTACATCTGAAGCATCGACAGTTACAACCACTTGGTTGGATGGAATTATCTCCACAGGTGTAGCCACATTTGTAGCGCCACCTGCTGCGTCACCCCCTGCGTCACCTGCTGCGTCACCTGCTGCTAAGCTCACCATATCTGTTGTTGCCGCAAATGTAACCGCAGCAGGTGCCACGTCAGCCTTAGAACCCGCAGATCCGCCCACTTGATGGCCTCTGCCACGTGTCCTCAACCCATTTGCTGAAGCACTGCTTTTTGCGCCGACCCACTCGGAAAATGACAGGCTGCCATGTCGATGCGATGGCGTTTTCGGTTTCACATCCAGGCCAGGATACAATTTCTGAGGCGCCTGCGATCCCGCGTCAAACCCTAGAGAACTCCGCACGTCCCCCAATGTCGTCTCGCCAAAAATGCTCCCTCCTCCTCCTCCTGCCGCCGCCTGGGTGTACCCCGCCCTTCGGGTAACTACACCGCCACCTAGGTTTTCGGGCAACCCACAACTCGCCGCTCTTTTCGGGAAAACTCCGTCTTGCCACCCCGAGAAATCGAGTCGTGACGCCACGCCTCCGCGCCTCTCCTGGAGGGATCGCGACCGCTGGACGGACCTCTGAATGCCGTGACCGTGACTAGAACGAGGGGCGTACACATCACCCTGGCAGGACCAATCATGATGACCATAACGAGGGTCGAGTGTCGGCCCTGACTGCTCGCAACTGCCACCGACCGATTGTCCACCGCACTGCGCGTGGCACGCGTGAGGAGGGCGCAGCAGGACGCGCTCCCCCGCCTCTCGTGCGCTCCACGCGCGCCCCAGCGGACTGGGAAAGTGCTTCCGCGGAACCAGGCGGGGACTAGCGCAAGCGGAAATTTCCTCCACGGAATTGGCGCAGTCCCCGCGCTCAGCTCGTCGCGCCGAAACGTCCGCAACAACCGTCCCCGCGGAAATGTTGGTGTCCGCGTACTCGCGGAACCAGCCTTCTACCCTCCTTCGCGCATCCGCATCCGCATCTGCATCCGCGTCCGTGCTCTCGTCTGCATCACCCGGCGCCGCAATCCGTCGTCGCGATTCGTCCCCCTGCTTCCGCTCCCACCGCTCCGTCAAAGGCGCGCAGTCGCGTGACGTGGCTTCGAAAGGGGAGAGCTGGCGGAAAGGTCTCCGCTTCCTGGACGACGCGGAGCTCAAGGACAAGCGCCCCAGGCGCGCGGAGACACCCGAGTGCGCCGCGTTTCCGCGATCGCCAGCGCCGTCACCGCGCAGTTCCGCGTCCGACACGGGGAAGGCATGCGATTCCGCTTTGAAGGACCCGCATGACGGCCGGAGCTGCTGCTGCTGGTGTTGGTGCAGCTGTTGCTGCTCCTGCTGCTGCTGCAGCCAGCGCAGCAGCCATTGGCTGCGCCTTACACGCTGTCGCCGCTGCGCCGCCGTCACCGCCTGCAGCTCATGTCCGCGGGGGGACGGAACGACCCATGTGCGGCTTCCGCCAACTTGGCACAAACCGACAGCTTTCCTCTCCGCTCCCGCGCCGCCCTCGATTCCCCCGGCCCCCTCTTCCGCTTTCTTCTCCGCCAACCCCTGCAGCCCACCCCACCGTTCACCTGCATTCCCGCTTCTTCCCGTCGCCGACACGCACCGTTCATTTCCGCGCTCTCCGGAGCCGCGGGGTCGTGGAAGGGCATGCGCGTCGGGCGTGCGGGCGGAATCCGAGTCAAATGCCGGCGCGTGTCCCCCTATGACCAGCAGCCGCCACGCCCACTGCAAATCTTCCGCGGGGATCGGCGCTCCTGCTCCGCCGGCTGTCAAGGGTCTTTCCGCCGACGGTGTTTTTTGGGGCGCCTCAAAAGTCGCCCACTGCAGATCTTCCGCGGGGATTGGCGCTCCTGCTCCGCCGGCTGTCAGGGGCCTTTCCGCCGACGAAGGCGACTTTGCCGCTGTCGGACTGTCGTGGCATTCATTTGATTCTCCCGCTTTGGCCGGGTCTCGTAGCGCAACAGCCACGTGTCCGAGATCGCACAGCTCGCGCCGCCCGCTGCGGCCGCTGGTTACGGAATTGAATCCGCCCGCGACGCCATTCCTTGGGTGGTGTTGGAGCAGGGACGAGCTTAACGGATGCGACTCAAACGAGTCTAGAGGACTCGACGGACCAAACGAACGCGATTCTGGCTTGTGCAAATCTTCCTGGGAAAGCAGATGAGAGGCTTCGTCGGGCACCGCTTCAGCGGGTGCGTCAGCGCACGTCGCGAGGGCGTGGAAGATCGCGAGGCGCTCCTCGAACCGCCGCTGTTGTCGCTCGCGGCGGCTCTCCGTTCTGCGAAATCGCGGGGAAGATTCGCGAAGGCCGGTCGTCGTGAAAGAATACTCTGCAAAACCCGGAGAACACCCGTAAGATGTAGTCTTTGACATCCTATTCCTCTTACGACATCTCACTGTGGGTACGATCGTGGCTAGCTGGAAGCTGGTGGAAGGCCTGTAGAATCTCTAGAGATTGTCGCTGCTGGGAGCACGCGAGGACTCGTGAAAAGATGTTTGAATGTTCGTATTGAGGAGTCGGGGCGGAGATTACAAACGTTTCACAAGGTTCTACTTTCGAGCTGGGAATTGGAGATCTGTATTCTTCACGAGAAGGCTGCTGATATTTTGAACGTTGTAGGTACGGACGTCTGGTCAGATTCGCGACACACGCGGTCAGAACACAGGTGTCTAGTTGCCGCCATGGTCCTCGTAAATGCTGAAGAAATTCGGTTGGATGGTCTCGTCGTCTCGAAGGCCCTGTTCGATAGCAGGGGTACCTCACCAGCAACGGGTGAAAGAGGGCACACAACGCAACGCAAGGCAAGTGAGGCCGCGCAACGGGAGTGAGTGAGTGCAACCCATCCGATCCAACCCAACATCGAGACGAGAATCGAGATTGGAGATTCGGACGGGATGGTGCCTGGGGGATCCAGCAAGAGTCGGGTCGGGGGACTCGGGACTCGGGACTCGGGAGTCGGGACGGGAGGGGAGCGAAGGATGAAGGGGGAGGGACGAATGGAGGGAGGACGGGAGGACGAGTAGATGGATCCAAATCATCCCATCCAATCCTACGACATACCGTCCAATCCATTTTCATCCCATTCCATCCCAGGTCACCCAGCCCATCCCCATCCCATCTCATCATTCCTTCCCCATCCCCATGATCTGACGATGATCCATCCATCCCATCCGACCACCACCACCCACCCTACGTGCGACAATTGCCCCTTCATCCAGTGGCACAAGAAAACGTGCTTTTTGACACGCCAGCAAGGCACGCCACGCCACGCCATGCCTTTATTTGAGTAGAAAGAGACAAGCAATCCAGAATTGTAGGTGAGGGGACAGCTGGAAGTCTAGGCAATGGCAGCATTGTCCTCCGCTGCGCGAATGAGAATGGAGATTACATTTTGAAATGCGCTAAACTGTAACGCGGTTAGGAACTTCGGATGGTGCGAAAATTCATCAGCTTGAATTATACATTTATCCACAGCTAAATAACCAGCTGAGAATATTTTTGCCAATTTTCGTTTACAAGTGATCAAGAAAAAGATGTACAGAATGCGCACTCCGTGACAATTTCATTTGTGGCCACTACCCATTTTTTGTGGCTGTCCTTTGCTACAATCCCGT